GAATAAAGAAATTGTGTAATAAAATGCCTCTGGTGGGACTCCAACCTGCGACCTCTCGCTGTCAAGGCGAGCTTCATAACCATTAGACCACGGATGCTTCATGGTTAAACAGATTCAAATACCACCAGATACACTCCATTACACAATAAGTACGGCTAGAAACAAATAATGGCATATGCTGTAATATAAATCAAGATAGCCGTTAACACTGTTAAATTATATACATAAATCATCAAAGAAAGGTAGATACAGTGTTCGAATAAAGGACATATATATATGTATATATATATATGTATATGTATATATCTATATGTGTATGTATATATATATGTGTATGTATATATATATATTTAAATTTTATGTATAATTCAATGATAATGTGTAAATTATATGCAAATATTTTTAAATCTAAGAAAATGAATTAGTATTATTTATTTAGTGTACATGTAAAAATTGAAAAATAGTAAGAAGTGTAGTGTATGTATGAAGTAGCTTTTTTTGTATAATTATAGAATGGATACCAACCTTCACATTGGATTTGTGTATTGTTTTTAAGAATAGCAATACATTGTTATAAAAGCATGTAATACACATGTATAAATAATTATATGGGAATATATTTCTGTCGAAGACAAATTAGTGAGTAAATTGTGTACAGGGTATGTGTGCATTTGAAATTGTATTAGTAAATATTAAGCTTTGTGAATTTGAATTAGGGATATTTAATGCTCAGGAAGATATACTGTAGATTTAAATAGGAAGAATATTTAAAAATGTAAAATCCCAAATTAAGGTCTTTTAAGAATGTGACTTTTATTTTCATTTTTTGTGTTATGCATTTATCGTTTTTTTTAGAAATTGTATGTATAGCCAAAAAATCTCAGATAAGATAGTATAATACATACTCCAAGTATCGAAATGCACGCCATCGTGTCGGGATTCAATACTTCGACATTAATTATGTCATAATCAGGAATGGTGATGACATAATTAATGTTGAAATATTGAATCCCGACACGATGGTGTGCATTTCGATACTTGGAGTATGTATTATACTATCTTGTATGTATAGATATACATATTTGTTATTGAGGTTATTCTGTAAATTAACATGTTATTTTAAATATATGGAAATACCGAATGTGTGTGAGTTTCTTAGACAAGACTTTTTTTATACCTTGTTCTAGCAAACCCTCCGACTGAATTTGAGTAAAAACATAATTTTATTTTTTGCCATTTATTACATCCTCCACAATGAAAAATGAAAATTTCATTAAAAAAAATGGAATTTTATATTTATTTTTATTATGCCCTCCGTTCCTTTGAAATCTCCAAAAATAATTTATATATATTTATGCCTTAATTATAAAATTTAAAGCATGAATTAATCTCATTACTACAATGTTTAATTAATTTTAAAATTGTATTTTTGTACTTCCCTCCGCCTAGACGGTTTTGGCAAAATCATTTTGCTAAATGGAAAAATAAAATTTCATTTGTATTCCCACCCCCCCCCCCCCCCCTCCACCCCCCCCTCCGTTAATGGTCTTTTAAAATATATATATGTTCGTGAAACAAGGTATAAAACGCCTTGCCTTATGCAGGTAAAGTGCCAGTGAGTGATCGTTCCCTTAAGCGCCGCCCCTTGGATTTTGTGGCTAAGGTACCACGCAGCATGTTCTGATTGGTTAAATTTGATTGACATTCCTGGAAAGCTCCATTTGTTCACTTGCTGTCAGTAATAATTACTGCTTTAAACTTCCAATTAGACTGTGAATTCGCCATGATGAAACCAGGGGCGGATCCAGCGATGTTCGAAAGCAGTTAGTGGGTGGGGGATTGGCGATCGAGAGACAACACTACCCTAGGGGAAAATTCTGGAAAATTTTTGTTTTCTAGACGCGCGAAAATAGCCTCTGATGCATTTTAGGCGATTATTATTTTTTTTTTACTTTCTAAATCGGCCTGGTCGGATCCCCTATATCCACCCCTGAAATTTGATTTAACGGCGCAGTAATTTTGTTATTGACTATGCTGTTTCTGGATTGGTCAAAAATATTCGATAAAAAGCTTCATTGTGATCTGCTTCTGTTTGAATGTTATTTTGAGAGACCAATTTGAAATTTAGTAAGCCTAAGCTGGAAGATTAAAAGTCTGCGTACATATCTAGAAAAAGGTCGCCTGTAAACGTCATAAGAAGTGTGCTCAGTGTTGTAATAGTATGAATAAAGTACAATACTTGCATGTTGTTGATATATGCTGGATTTTGTTCGTTGTTTAAGCCTATTGCATGCGTACATTGATTCGATTGAGTTTAAAGAAGATGATGATTGGTTATTTCCATATTTAAAGGAGCCATGCACATCATGACATCAAAAATATCAAGACATAGGCCAACCTGTTACGGGGCGCGGAGGACCGCACTATAACGGTACTCTCATGGGATTATTGAGGAATAGTCATTCTCAACATCTGAACAACATTGATTTTCTTTTTTTTTTATTGAATAAATTAAAATTCACAAAAACTTGTTAATGTAGTCAAGCCAATGCACTGTTGGCCTAAATGCTTTTGAAGACATGTTATTTCAAAGCAATTAACGTCTCAGGTGCAGGCCTACTCTCATTTTGGTTTGATATTTTGAACTTTTTAAGCTTCATTGTTGATATATTTTTCTTTATCGTCGAAGATCGGTTGAACTATAATGTGGGTACATTATTTCTGATCTGTTTACTGCAAGCAGGGTGATTTTAGTGATTTGTAACATTTCAACCTTTGTTAACGTACTTAAACTAAAAGCCATGTAAAAAGCATGGTCTCCTTTCAACCCATTTAGTTATTTACAAAAGTTCTTATTAGTAAGTTCTTTACGTAGACATACAAACCGCTCATCTTGCCAAGGTACGATGTGCTGGCTATAGAATTGAAATAATAGCACGCAGTTGTTTTCGGGTCTTTTTTAAATTGTCCGTCTGGTGAACATGCTTGTAATGAATATGTTTTAGATTTACTACTTCAATGCAAGTGGGATGGTGTATTGTTCTATTGTTGTCATTTTTTAAAATTTACTTTTCAATAATTTAACTAGTAGGCCTAATGAAAATAAGATAGGGCTACGTGACATAGGCCTACCTAACACCAGCGGTGGCGCCAGAAATTTGCCGACAAAGGATCAGACATGTCCGACGGAGGGGTCCAAACCAAGAAGGGACCGATGAAGCCTCGGTCGACGCCCTGGAATAAACGGGGAGAGTTTTAATGGCTTAGTTGGTCCAAAATTTGCTTTTAGACCACAATATTAGGGATTGGCAATCAAAATAACGTTATTTGGATAGGGAAAATATCATTTTTTAAATTTTTTTCATCCGTCGACATAGTCGTGCGTCGGATGACAGGGGGTCCAGGCCTGTCCAACGGGGGTTGTGGTGGTTCACATCACCGGGCCATTTGAGAATTTACAAATCGTTTCGGTAGCACTTGTAACCGGGATACGAACAAGTCAAGTCTCACTAATTCAAGAGAATTTTTGTGAACACGACCACGATCCCCGACAAAAGAAAAAAGAAAAAAAAAAAAAAACCTCATAGCCACTCAATTACTTAACAATATATAATCAAGACACATCAAATACAACAAATATAATCCAAGAATTAGTGAAATTAGAGCCGTGTAGTTAAAACAAGTGATCCTTTAAAATTATTAAAATCTGAAATGCATTTGGCCTGTAAAATGAAAATCTGAAATGCATTGGGCCTTTCGAATGAAGAAATTCTACTTGGACGTGGAAACAATGTTGCCAGAAGAATCCTATCTGCATGTGAAATTCGGGCATATAGGAAATTTCTTGTTGTTTGCTTAGGTATGTATTTAGATAGTCTGTATTGTAAAATGCATGTTTGAGAAGCTTGTTTTTGAACAGGTTAGCCTCCTCCCCCAGGGGCGGAGTCAGTAGGGAGAACTTGGGAACGTCACCTCCCCTTCACCGTTTTGACACTAAATTTTCAAAATTTCAGTGCATATCACTGTTATGTATTGTACACTTATCAGCGGCGTAGCTAGGTGCGAAAGGGCCCCATTGCAAGATTAATTGGCGGGCACTTTCATGTGGACGTGAATTCACTAAATGTCTCAGAAAATTCATAATGAAAAATGTAATTTTTAACCCCCTATTCCGTGGCCTAGGCTAGTAATAAATACTAATGATAATCAGATTCGGAACTATTTTAAGAGGGTCATAGGCCTATTCGGTCTCTGCAGCTGTTCTAAATTAATCGGTTCAGCGAATTCGAAATGGAAGCCCAGGGAGGGACTTTGTACAGGCGGAGGGTGAAGACCACCTCAGCTCCAAGTTGGGGCTGAGTTAAGAAAATTTATGATTATAGCACCACTAGTCTCTAGATGGTCAGAAATGGTACTCTCAGAATTAAATTTTAATATAATTTCCCTTTTTTGCCATTTTGAAAAACAAATACGGGGGGGGGGGCGGCTGGGGCACCCCTGAATACACCACTGATTTGAAATCAACACAGTAGGCCTCATTATTAATAATTACTCCTCTACAAAACCGAATGTTATTGAGGGGCCCGCTGGCCGTTTTGTTCTTCAAATTATTCTTTTGTTATTTTTGTTATAAGTTATTATTATTTTTATGAATGAGTCTCAAATAGCCCTGGGTCCCAGTATGTTGCATGACTGCACTGCACGTAGCTACGCCATTGCACTTATTAATTCTGAAACTGTTGTGCCC